ACTCCCCAATCGGCCCTGCTCTGAGCCCGACCAGGGGCTGCACCTAGGGATTGGGCCTGCCCTCTGCCACCCGGGAGCAGACCTAAGCCAGCAGGTCGTTATCTCCCAAGGGATCCCAGACTGCGAGAGGGCACAGGCCAGGCTGAGGGACCCCCCGCCCCCCGAGTGCACAAATTTTTGTGCACCGGGCCTCTAGTCTATATATATAAACAGGTAATATGCAAATTAGCCAGGCATCACAACCAGCTCAGGAGGAGGCTGCATTACGACCACTCAGGAGGAGCTGCTCGTGCAGATGGGCGGGAGGAGACTGCATGCCGCCCCCACCCCAGCGGACACACACCAGGGGTGGAGGCGTGCTCTGAGCAGCCTCGGTGCGGCTCGGAGCATGCCTCCAGTGGGTGGTGGCAGCAGCCCGGAGCAAAGCAGCCCAGGTGGCAGGAGCAAAGTAGTCCAGGTCCTGGGTTCTGGAGGGAAACCGGTGTTGGCAGCCAGGGGAAGGAAGGCCTATTCTTGCACGAATCTTCGTGCATCAGGCCTCTAGTAGTATATAATAGCTGGGAGGCAGTTTGGTGTGAAGGGAAAAGGCAGACTCTGGGGTCAGAGCCTCACCACTTCCTTTTAAGGGAAGTTCCTGTTAACCTTTATGTTTTTTCTTCATTAACAACAACATCATCATCATCATCATCACAGCAGCCAACAAAACCTATTAGGGGTAATGCCCATAATTTTATTCACTGAGCTAAGTAAAATATCTAGCTTTCAGACCTATTGTGGGAATTAAAAAAAAAAAAAACTAGCACAAAAGACACTAAATAAACACTGACTTTCATCCTCCTTTCCTGTAGTAGATCCTGGTCCACAGAGACATACATTCACATGCCTGTCACATTCATTATATGTTCTGTAGTTTTATACAATGAAGTTGGTAAACATGGCCTCATGTCCATTAACCAGAAATACATGCAAGTTAATACACTTCTGTGTATATACCATCAAAAATCATTATTGCTGGTTTAAAATAAAACTTCTACTTACTAGAGTCATTACTGGACAGCAATATGCCCAATGTTTCTACTTTGAATGTTTTAGGAATTTCCCAAGTCCACATTTCCCAGGAGAAGCCTACCATTAGTCACTATTGACAAGATTGTCAGTTCTCAACAAAGTCAAGTGTCTTCCTTAAACTAAGAGAAAACACAAGGAACCCAAAGGGGTCTCTAAATAGATCTACCAGTAGCTATTCCTCATTTATGGACATTAAGCAAATTCGGAATAGTTACAAATGAATTAGGCAGATGGCCTCCTAAGCATGGAACTAGAAAAGCATCATATGCTTTATGTATTGCAGTACTAAGAACAAGCCACGTCTTTGAAAATTCATCTCCCTGTTATCCTTGAAAACATTTAATAATATCTGTACTTAGCCTTAATAGATTTATAACTAATATAATGATTAACACTGTAAGTTACAGACTGTCCAATAATTCATTTACTGTCCAGTAGTAACTTCCTTAACCCATTTTTGGATTTTGCTGATTCCAAGTTAAAAAACAAAATGATAACTACAGGCGCTGGCCAGGTAGCTCAGTTGATTACAGGTTGTCCTGAATTCCAAAGTTGTGGGTTCGATCCCCTATCAGGACACATATAAGAAACAACCGATGAATGCATAAATAAGTGGGATAACCAACTGATGTCTCTCTCTCCTTCTGTCTCTCTCTCTCTCTCTCTCTCTCTCTCTCAAAAATCCATTAAAAATGATAACTACATAACAATGACATATGGAAGTTCAGTATAAATTTCAGTGGATTCCCCCAACAAATTTGGGATAGGAGGACCGAAAAAGTGACCAGGAAGGCAAGTCTCAGCTGATGGGGACAGAGCTGGGCTTCCAACTCCAAGGGTTTTACTTCCAAGTGCAGGATTCTTCCTGCTGCCACCTGAGGCTGTACACGAAAGGAGGAGTGATGGCATTTTAATTAACGAGGAAATATTACTAGGTTTCAAAAGGTACTACTGATAAGATGCATCTTATAAACACAAATGTGCTTAATTTAAGAGAAAAGCCTAAGAGAAAATAATAGTCAGAAGGTAGTCAATCGAAATAGGGATAATTTATTTTCTAACACAACAACAAAGATAGTGTTCATACGATTCTTTTTTTTTTTTATAGTAAACATTTAATTGGTTCCGTCAGCAATTCCAGCTTAAGTTTTCCTGAAAGGGGAGGCAGAATCAACCTACCCAGAGGTTCATGAGGTGTGGAGGTTACCGAGGAAAAGCACAGGCCGTGCGTGGCCCGATATCTGCCTACAGGAAGGGAAAGGGAGGGCAGGAGACTCCCTGCACAGACAGACGGCTGCAACGACACATTCAGGTTTTCAACCACATGGAGTAGAGGGAAAGCGAGGAGCCTCTTTCCAGCTGCCTTGTATTAGGAAACCCTCCCAGGTGGTCTCGTCACCTTGGTGCCATGTCCCCCATTCTGTATTCCAAGTTCTGCAGCTCAAACCCAGGCTGTGAATTCTACATTCTACCTTCTGGGTTCCTGGTTCTTGGGCTGGGGGGCCTGAGGGTAGGAATTTTTTTTTTGGGGGGGGGGGGGAATGTGAGAAGACATAAAAGGTTGCTGTTCTTCATTCAAAGAAATTAAAAACTGCTTCCAGCACAGGGGCAGGGATGGGCAGGGTGGGCCGAGCTGCAAAGTCCTCAGGACTCTGTCATCCTCAGCTCCCCGTTGTCTGAGCTGAGCACTAGCCCCCAGAGTCCTTCCAGATCAGAGAGAAAACCAAGACAGCTGGACGGGGAGCCCCTCTGTCCGTGGCTGCCCCAAGGGAGAAGGGCAGTGAGGCGGCGGCGGCAGCATCACTGGAGAGGCGAGATCTTCAAAGGGATCATGATCCGAGACTCCATGTGTCGCACCAGGGGCACTGTGTAGTAGACATTTTCATCCCAACCCCTCTTCCTCCAAGCAGCATTTCTAGTCTCTTCCCGAGACTGCAGGTCTTTGTAGGCCAGAGATGGTGCACCACGTAGAGCTCTCCTATCTGTGAGAAGAAGCCGCCCACCGCCTCCTGGTTCTCTTGTTGGTACTTGATGGCCCGAGCCCAGTTGTTGCCCCACTCAATCATGGCTCCTGGCTTGAGCTTGTATGTCCTCAGCTCATAGATGTTGGGACCTGCTCGGGGCTGCGGCTCGTTCCAGAAGCTGAACTCCAGAAGCATCTGGTTCCTCCTGGACAGCAGCATCTGGCTGCGCTCCTTCCAGAACTCCAGGTACTCGTTGTTTTTGAGCTTGTTCATGCAGTCCATGAGGGCGGGGTAGCCGCCGGAGAAGCGCCACAGGTGCACTGTGGTGGGGCGAGAGGTCCGGGTCAGGGGGCCCCTGGGACCCAGCCCTGCTTCTCCCCCTGTTGGCTAAGCATGTATGTAGGGGGGTGGCCTCCAGCCTGGTTCTCGGTAGCACCAGGACCCTTTGCCTTGGGGGCTGGGGGGAAACGCCTGGGTGGGCGGCGCGGCGGGGCCCGGGGCCGCCCAGCAGCCGTGCCGCTGCAGAGATGCTGCCCAGCCGCGGAGCCATGTTGGCGGAGACTCATATGATTCTTTTTTCAGGGTACTTTTACTGAGGTGAAAGCCACATACTATAAAATAAACCATCTTAGCAAACACTTCAGTGGCACTTACTTTATACAAAATGTTGTGTAACCACTACCTTTATCCAGTTCCAAACAATGTCATCACTCACAGGGTAACTATTAAGCAGGTGCTCCCCAATACTCCTTCCCTAACCTCCATATGATTATTTTCTTAGCGTGATGCTGCATATACACCAAGCATCTGTGCGGAATATAGAGGATTCCTTATCAGTAGTTCCTACCCTGGTTGTGAAGCTTCTTAAAAATGCAGACACCAGGGCCCCATCAACAGAACGAGGATCTCAGGAACATCCCAAGCATCTATTGTTGTTACTGAAAATCAGTGGGTTAAATATATTATGGCCAATTCAGATGTTGGAATACTTATCACTTAAATTCCTGTTTTAAGTATTTAATCCTCAAAGATAACAATATAGTTCATTCTCTTTTTACATATATATTTTTTTATTGATTTCAGAGAAGGGAGAGAGAGAGAGAGAGAAACATAAATGATGAGAGGGAATCATTGACAGGCCCCTACTGGGGATTGAGTCCCCAGCTCAGGCATGTGCCCTTGACCAGAAGCTAACCCGGGACCCTTCAGTCTGCAGGCTGTCTGACACTGAGCCAAATCGGCTAGGGTTAGTTCATTATCTTTATTCATCTTATTAAGTAACAATTTTTTCTACAATGAATACAGTATGTGTGTCTATGCCACTTATATGGACATAAACATGCATACGTATACACACAAAAGATATCCTCTAAAACAGGGGTCCTCAAACTACGGTCCGCGGGCCACATGCGGCCCGTCGAAAACATGTATCCGGCCCGCCGGGTGTTTTTGCCGCCGCTGCCTGTCCTGCTTAGCAGCCAACTCATCCTGGGCCCGCAGTGCGCATGTGTGGAAAGTCTGAGGGACAGTGAACTGGCCCCCTGTTTAAAAAGTTTGAGGACCTCTGCTCTAAAATGTCAGCAAAAATTTATGGGAAATGGGATTATACTAACTTCTAACTTAAAAACAAAACATTTATTAAAGGCGACATTGTCATATGGCCTCATGCCATCTAACTAACTTCCTGGTTTCCTGCCACTACTTTCTGTTTGGCTAGTTTAGTTTTAATGAGATTTGGCTTCTGTTGGTTTTTATATTAACTTTTAGTTAGATCACAACCCAGAGTTTCTGAGTTATTCTCATCTGTAAATACTCAACTAGAGCTCAAATTATTGTGGAGTTGCCTCCCCATGGTTTTAAATCATGTGGGATAGTGCACCTACCCATTAGTTCCTATTCAGATGTACCACCACAATAAACATGTCTTCCACAAATGATGTCAACTCCTGCATCCCGAATTAAACTGTAAGAAAATACTTCCTGTTCAATTACAATTTTTAAAAATTAGCTAGGAAGCGAGGGGAAAACAACTTTTGAGTTCTCCTTTCCTTTCTGAATGCTAAGACTAGATCTCTGAGCAGTTAAGATTACTGTGCCTTCCCACGTTAATGTTTGTTACGAAGAATTTGGCTTAAATAACAACCAGAGAACATCAGTAGTTGGTCAAACATCCAAACAAGAAAAGGTTCTAGCAAAGACTGGAATATTCAGTAAGCCATACTGACCACCGCCAGCTGCAACAGGGCTTATCTTAGGCTGAAATCTCTGTTGAGTAAACAAAACCAATTCTTTGTCTTTTGAGTTCCCTTTGGAGGGGTTCTTCTCACACCCGTTCCTGAACTTCCTAGTAAAATTGTTGGGGAAAATCACAATCCTACTGAAGTGCCATGACTGACAGGCCAACACGATCAGAGAGACTCATGTGTCCTTAGCAATCACTAGTGTTTGGAAGGGATTATAACTTGGTAAAAATTCCAGTGTCAGGTACAGACAGCAGTGGCTATCGGTCAGTGCCCCCTTTGCATTTCTCTTTAGATATACCCTCTAGCCTGAGTTAACAGTCAGAGACCACAGAAGGCAGTAAAGGTCTCTTTACTGTCTTATGAACACAATATTAATAACGGTAGATGCCATTATTGACTATTTGATATGTCAGGCATTGCTGTACCTTTTCCACTTAAAGGATTTTATTTAATTATTACAACTCCATGAA